TTCACAAAACAAAAATATAAACAGATGAACATTTCAATAATTGCAATAATTACGAGGAAATCCTGGTTCAAATTCTGATTTATGGATATGAAGGTGTGATTAATGATTAACTGTTAAATACCTGGAATGTAACATAATCTAGGCTTAATAGGGATGACATCTTAGGCTGTTTCTATGCTCACCGCGTCACTTTTGTTGTGGGTGTTGCATGACGATTTTCACATCAGTTCTTGTGTCATGGTAACATGGTGAGATGGTGAGATGGTGAGATGACGATCCACCTGTGTACTGGAGCTTGTCCTTCAGGTTCCCACATTACATCAGGACCTGTTGCCTCCTGAATTCACACCTCACTTGGTTTAGTGTGAGGGACATGTTTAAGCGGGTGGAGGGGCAGCACATTGGGGAAGGTAGTGGAAGGGTGAAGACCTAAGCTGGGAGTGGGCCATTCCTCTGGGGGCCCATGTGGGGTGTCGTTCTCCATTCTCCAGGTGTAGGTGGGTTTTTTTTGGTTTAAATTATTTCAGATATGGGTTAAGGATTAGTGAGTGACCACATCTAACTCCATACATCAATACTTTGTGGTCTGCTGAGACTGCCTACTCCATTACACCATCTTACCTTAATTTCCTTTCTCATGTAAACAGCTGTATTTAACTTAAATGTTAAAAATTCACATCTGGTTACAGCTATCACTAACAAAAACTCATCACATCTGTAAAGCTCAGTACCATAAATTGCTTTAAATAATTTTATGTTTTGTGGGGTTTTTTTGTTTTGTTTTTTTGGATATATGTGAGTAGTTCTCTCTGTTGGCACTGATGCGGTTAATGCTTTTATATTTCACCTATAAATGTAACAGTGCTTGTGCGTTATTCATACTTGAACTCGTGGCAGTGGATCAGTTATATGAGCACATGCTTGACTGACTCTTGATTGGAAGTTACAGTAGTTTTTCTGACTTTTTACTACAGATATGTGTGACATTTGTTGTTACCGGCACCAAACCTAGGAGAATCTGGACCGGCAGCAAGCGGCACACAGGCTAGAGAGCACTGCGTAGCCAAATATGAGCAAACTGTGGATTAATAGAGAGGACACCGAAGTTAGCATCTTGCTCAGGCCGGAGCTCATTTATTTCTCCACATATACACAATACAAATCACACTAGACCATGCATACTTCCCATAAAATAACAGAGTTCATAAACAAAAATAAAGTTACAAAAAGCATTCTCTCAAAAGCAAAATAAATACAAACTAATTCAAAATGACTTTACATACTCACAACTTAAACAAAACACTCGCGGCTAAAGCATAACAACATACCAAAATAACCCATCTCACATTCACACAACCTTTCTCTTCATCCGAATGATGAGACGCATGTTCCACTGTTTCATTGGGGTTTGTCTCTCCCAGTCTTTGTGTTTGTCTTTTCTGACGTCCCTGCTGATCTTGCTGTTTCTAGGTCAGGGATGGAGCCACGTCAAGCTCTCCTCTGCTGGGGACATTTTGTGGTGCTCAGATTCCCCCCAGGCTTCAGTCTACTCAGCGATCTATGTACATCAAATTCACCACTGACTCTTCTGTTAGCAACCACGGCTTTGAAGCAGCCTATGACTCTGCCATAGAGGGTGAGAGAAGTATCAATGTTTCTCATTGAGTACTCTTATAAGTGACAAATATTTTGCAGATCACCAGATATGATGGCAATTTGCTAAGTTTTTATCTCTTGGCTTCTATAGGATTTGTTTTTTCTCAGCTTTTAAATTGATCTTTCTTAAAATGTATTGTTTGTTTTTTGCTTAAAAAATGTATGTTGTTTGTTTGTGTGGATGATATTTCTTTCCTTTTTGAAAAAAACCCCACAAGAATTGACTGTGAGTAAACACAGATACTGACAGAAATGTGCAAATTTTGTAATCAAGTTCATTCACTGTAAATAAGATAAGATTTTATTAATTGTAATGTAAGCTCATGAATTTATTATAACCGAGTGTGTATTTGAAACTGCTGTTAACCCATTTAAGATAACTGATAAACTGACTTGTGCAGCATATGTGTGTAAATACAGTCTGCTAGCTGTTACTAAATATCAGAAACCTTTAAAACTTTAAAGAAGGCACAGCATGACATTAAGTCCCAATCGTTTCAGACCTGTCTTTAAGCTTTGAAAGCTCAAGCTCAAAAGTCTGTTGATTTCTAATTTGTTTTTTCCATATTCCAGGCTGTGGTGACACCTTGACCAGTCCTTCTGGCACCATTACGAGCCCTGGTCATCCCAGCAGCTACCCCCATGGTGCCAATTGTACCTGGTACATCAATGTTAGCCCAGGCCACCTGATTCGGCTGACATTTGAGTCATTCAACTTAGAGTACCATGCTAATTGTAACTTTGATTATCTGGAGGTGTACGACAACGGCACAGTGCAAACCGGAAACATGATTGGAAGGTACGCATGGACACCTTGCGCACACAACTGCACATATATGCACTCAACAACCACTTTGCATCAACATTTGTACACAAGTGTGCATGTTGATTTTATAATGATAATGATGACGATTGTATGATTCATACAGTTGCATATTTATACAGAAGAGGAATAAAATTATTAAAAATGTTAAAAGGTCATCTTGTCAAGAACATTCAGCAATAACAAATTTGAGAACTCGCAAAAGTTGGTACTGGTCTTGGAAGTCATCCCAACTAAGCTAAACTGTTAGCTTCACAGTTAATTTAAAGAAGTTAGCCTGATTCATTCTTTGTTTTACATAGAGACAAATAAAAAGTCACAAAAAGGGGTAAAATAAGTTGGAATGCTATGTGAAATGTAAATAAAAAGTTTTTTTGGGGTAAAAAATCATTTTAGCAACAAAAGTCTGGGAAAGTTGCATGGTGGGACAGTCAGACTGAGTATAATGAAAAAAAAATGTATATAAAATACTGAGAGGCTTGGTGGGAAAATTACTTCCCAAAACAATCTCAACCTTTAGTGCTTCAGTGTTATTCTAAATGCATGTCAGGCAGGAAAGGACTCAAACTCAAAGGAACACAGCTTTATTGCTGAATGGCAAAACGATACAAAACTATACTGTTAAATGATAAACTGAACACACAGAGAGACACACAGGGAAACATAGCTGACACAAATTAACTAGACACACCGAACACGGGCACATGACTTTCACATTAAAACAGGAAGCAGGAGTGGAGGAGTGGCAGACTAGAGGGAGCGAGGGACCATGAGGGAGAGAGAAAGAGGGCAGACGTGATGGGCTGGGGAAACAGATAAACACAAGGAGAGAAAACGAGGCACACGTACACGCATAAGCACAAACACAGACACAGCGAGGGAGACACAGAGGGCAAAGACATGGGGGAAATCCAATAAACAAATCTAAATTGAACCACCAATAGAATAACTCTAGACTAACACGGAGGACCAAAACATAAATAATAATACAAAATGACAAAAACACAGAAAAAGGTAAACCACTGGGTCACCAACCCAGGACTGTGACAATTCGACCCTTAAATCATTTTGTTCTCAACCAATTACCCTTTGTAGAAGAGAAGGAGGAGAACTCAAGGAAATCTTTGTATAAAAGGAAAGTAAAAGAAGATTTTTGATGAATATATATTTCTTTCTTTTTCAGTAAAGGCCTCGTGTTTTCAGTAACACAATGCCACAAAAATCAAAATGAGGATGTCTTCTTCCAGAAGAATAATAATTTGTTATGAACTTTAATTTCAAAGGATGCTTTGTATGATTTGTCACTCCATGCATTGTTATGGATGTGTTGATTATCCAGCTACTATAACAATGCTGTTTTGTTTTGGTATTTTTACTTTACAGCTTTAAAAGAGGCTTTTTTTATCCTTCTCATTCTGATTTGTAGAATGATGCAAACTACATTTAAGTTACAAAGCAATTAGGTTTGTAAAGGTTTGGATTGTTTTGTACATGCTGGTACAAGGTACATGTATAAATTTGTCTACATGTTGCATGTTGTATGTGCAGGTACTGTGGTCGCTCAGTGCCTCCATCCATCACGAGTACTGACAACCAGCTGACCCTGCTATTTGTGTCTGACTCAAGTTTAAACACAGAAGGATTCTCTGCTAGCTATATCTCCATCAATGCCACCACAGGTACATGGTTATCTTTCCCAAAACAGAGCATAGAATTTTTAACACAGCTTTTCCAGACATCCTAGTTTTTATTGACATATTAAAAGTTTTGCACACAAATGAAAAAAAATATTTCCCCACAATCAAAAACTACCAGGTTCAAAATTATTAGCTTCCTAATGCAAATAGTACCATTTTTGTTGGATAAGTGCCTAAAGTCTTTTGACACACATCTCTTGAGCAATCCCAGTCTATTTTTCTTTTTTCACAAGGCCTCCAGTTTTATAGGCTTCTGGCATTGACCTGGGTCTTCAGTTCATCCCACAGGTGGGACTCAATTGCAGGCTAGTCAATAATATTCACTTTGGTCTTCTGGAGTTGGTACGTTATGAAAACCAATGTGTGTTCTGGACCATTGTCATGTATCAAGATAAAGTGATGACGCAGGCTCAGTCTGCTGGTGACTGCCTGAGGTTTTCTTTCGTCACATATCCTTGTTTCTTCTCGATTCCTTCCACCTTGAAGAGATTCCTAGATACACTGATAATACTCCTATCATTGTGTTTTACTGTGGGACGGGGGTCTTTGGGAAGCACCCTTCCCTTCTTCCTTCAAAGAGCTAGTTGTTTGTCATCTAATCTAAGAACACACTTCTAGCATCTTTCTCCAACTTTCCTGAGCATACTTCAGTCTGGCTTCAAGGTGTCTCTAAAACTGGACTTTTTCTTCATCTGCAACCCTGCAGTCCATTCCTGTGAAGAGTCATTTCTTTATTTGAGACTACAATTCCTGACCTGGCCAAACCATTCATTAGTGTTCTGGAGTCTTTGAAATTGATTGCTGTCTATCTCTGCCAAGCTTGCTCTTTAATTTACAGATGATACTTCCCCCTCCTGTTCTTGACACTTGAAATGCTGTGATAACTTTGTACATCTACTTCCTGCTTTGTGAGGGTTTGTGAAATAACTTCTGTCTAAACTAATTTCTTGTGTTTTTTGGCAAAATATGTTTTGAAGTGACAGTTCAGCCCCTCCTCATGATTTTACAAGCTTTAAGCATTAAAGAGTTGTACCACATCATTGCCCAGAAGTGCTTTATGCTATGGCTCAATAAAAGTCCGTTTTTCAGTGGACTTTGAATCTGGACCCTGGTAATTTATTTTCTAAAATAATTCTGTTTTTGTGTGCAGACAGAAAGAATTTATGAAAATGATGTGCTGCATTAAAGAAGAACAGGGAAAAATTTGACAAGAACTTCAAAAACTTGACATAAATTTCATCGGGGGACTAATAACTTTTTTCTCATCTGTATATGGACATGGTGTTTTCAGTCACAGTGTATAAAATCAGACACCCAGTCATGCAGTCTGCCTGCACAAACATCGTTATAGAGAAAACATGTAATTAACTACATCAGTTTTAGAATTTAATCAAGAAAACGACATTTTAGGTTGCAGAAAAGTGAGCAGGGATTTGTCTCATGCAAAAAATAATATTATAGTCAGATTGTAATTTTTTAAAAACATTATTCCCCCCTTTTCTGTCTCAACAGACTGTGGCCAGACTTTCACCACCCCTACTGGGTCTTTCAGTTCACCCAACTACCCACAATATTACCCCAACAGTAGAGACTGCATCTTCAAGATAATTGTGGACGTCAATATGCAGATTATGCTGAACTTCACTGATTTTGAGTTGGAGGGGAGCCATCCTTCTTGCAGATTTGATTTTGTGGAGATCAGGTGAGGCAAAACATTTCTGCCTACTTGGAAGAAAACTGCTGTACGGTTTTATCCGTAATACTTTTTACTCAGATCACTGACATGTTGAACTTCCACTGTCTCAACTAGGGACGGGGGCTTTGAGTCATCTCCCTTGATTGGTAAGTTCTGTGCCAATCAGCGGCCTCCAGTTCTGATGTCACACAGCAACCGTTTGTGGGTTCGATTCAAATCTGACACCTCGGTCACTCGTCCCGGATTCATGGCTCACTGGGACGGAACACAAACTGGTGAGGTTCAAATATATGTGATACCAGTTTTTACTATTTCAGCTTTTCTTTATCAAGTTTCATTTTAAGTAAGTCTTTGACATTATGGGCTATAATTATTTTTCATAATATACTATAATACTAATAGAATTAAAATTATAATACCACCAAATCCATGCATTTTGCCAGGACATCTGCACTTTTGCATCTGTAAGTTACCTATTATTTCAGTGACACATGTCAAAGGTTAGCAGCCACCTGGAAGGAGAGAAATGGCCAAGGCCAAATTTCTAAGTGAATTTAAAAATTATAATTACAACTACTGGGTGAGAGCATATTACTGGTCCTATTATGTACCATTTCATGCCTACATAAAGTTGTGTTCTGGACAGTGTGTTGCTTTGGCACACAGTGTTTCATATTGACCTATACCACCTACTTCTAACAACCTGAGAAGGATGAGACAATCTAAACTTGTATATAATTATATATAATTTGTACTAGATTGCAAAATGTCAGTTAAGAGGGGGGGGGGGGGGTGTTGGCTCAATTAAAAACAACAACATGTAGCTAATGAATTAAATAAAGTACAGATAAATCAGATTGGGGTTGCTTTGGCTCAGGTGAAAGAACAATCTGAAGGTTGGTGGACCAATCCGTGTTGAATTATTCTTGGGGAATAAGTCTGGATTCTAAATCCAGCGTTTCCCGGGTCCATTCAACAGGGTGTGTGTGTGTTTAAATGTGAGGTAAAAGCGGGTAAAGATAAAAGCACTACTGAATGTTGTGTGATTGGGTAATTTGAGAGCTCAAATTGATCAGAAAGGTGTTTTTTATATATATATATATAAACAAGATCCAGGCTATCAACACCTATGCCCTGCTCGTGATCAGGTATCTGGCTGGGATAATAAGCTGGCCAAAGGAGGAGATAGAAGCAACTGACATTAAGACAAGGAAGCTCCTTGGTGGGTTTTACCCCAAGTCCAGCACCCTGAGACTGTACGCTAAGCAGAAGGAAGGATGTATATATATATATATATAGATATAGATAGATAGATAGATAGATAGATAGATAGATAGATAGATACAAGAAGGCATCGGTGGGCAAGAGACGAAAATAGGTCATTGTTGGAATGCTACTACACAAGTAACCCTGGCTGAAGGGTTACATGAATAGGATGAGGGACCTATGGATTCTTCGATACCCAACATCCACAAATGTCTCAAACTATATATAGGTCATATAGTTTTTTGTAAAGAGGACCTGAAACACTGAAAGAAAACTCTCCACAGTCCACCTGCTGATTGAAGCTTATGAGGGAATTGTCTAGCTATACTTCTATCTTCTTATCTAAGGCGTAAGCCAGCTGACCAGTTGGTATGTTTCATAAGACTTTATTTCATACCTTTAATTATAACAAGAAATGTTTACCCTTTACTGTACAACAATTACAGCATGTAGAAAACAGTACTTTTTCATTTGAAGTTTGATTGTAACAGTAAAATGTAAAAAAAATGCTTTCTGTCTTTTTTTTCCTCATCTACATGTTTTATTTTATCCTTTGTTCCAAGGCTGTGGAGGGACGTTGACAACTGCATCTGGAGCATTCTCCTCTCCTAACTACCCGCTACCCTACCACCCAAATGCTGAGTGCTACTGGAACATTAGGACCAACCAGGGCAACAAACTCCTGCTCTCTTTCTCTGATTTCCATCTGGAATCTAATGCTAACTGTTATTATGATTATGTGGCTGTGAGTATTCTACCTCTAAGTCATATGGTTGCATTGTTACGCAAGACTAAAGTATGAAAGTAGATGAACGTTTCATTTTGGGGCATATTCAAACATTTTCTAATGGATGTACATAACTGTAGATAAACATGGATGCGCAGCAGACTTACTCAGCTTGGTGTTTGAAAACAACAACAAAATCATTACAAAGCTGGACTGAAGTAGGTTTTTTCAGTTTAGGGTATAAAACAACTTGTTTGGAGGTGTCAGTGGGATCTAAAGGACTCGGAGAAAGCCAATACTCAGCCCAGAGGCTTTATCAGCCCACATTGTTCATGATTGGAGAAAAAAGGAGAGAAAAAGGAGTCAAGGTTTAGTTCATTCTTGGTGTTTTTATTCTAATGAGTACCAGAAACCAGTATAACTCTGCTAAGAGGGGACTGATGTGCTCTCTGTCATTGGTTTTCATTAATAACCTTGAAACAGAATCCAGGATAACCTGCAGCCTATTTGTAGTTTTATGGGGAAGCCCAACAAAGGGAGCACTGTAGTGATCCACTTTAGTTTTTCAGCATAACGACAAGTCAGGAAGGGTCATATTTTGGTGATATTCCCAAGTCTGAAGAAAGCTATCCTGGTAATGATGTTTTAAAGCACATTTCAGAATCTAAAATAACTGCAAGAAGGAAGTCAACTAGAATTTTCAAATTGATACCATAGGTGTAGCAACTAAAAATCTTGGATGAGTTTGAATCTCAATGACATCAAGGTCAAAGGTTAGAGGTCAAGGTTTCTGAAAATTGATTTGGAAAGTGATACCATGAGTGTATCTACTAGGAGGCTGAGGGGTAGCACTGGTGGCTGCCAGCATTTTAGGTTGGTGTAATTATGACAAAATAGTACATATTTTGAAAAACTTTGTTTTTTTACCGCTTTCAAAAATTTCAATTATTGAAATTGTTTTTCTTTAGTTCATTTTACTTCTTCATTTCATTTTGTTTCTGTTATCTGTTTCTGTTAGGTACATGATGGCAACAGCAGCAGTGCTCCACAACTGGCCAAGCTGTGTGGCAGTGACCTGCCGAGTACCATCAACTCTTCCAGCAATGAGCTCTACGTCAAACTCCGCACAGACAGCAGCGTCAATGCAGGAGGCTTCATTGCCTCCTACACTTCCCGTAAGAAAACGTATTTGGTTTCTTCACATTATCTGTGTTTGTGAATTTAAATAATTACGAAGATTTGGAACAATTCTGATAATTTATGAGATATTACCAGAGATGGCCAAAACTGTATTTAAGTTCAATCAAATCAAATCAAATCAAATCACTTTTATTGTCACATCACATGTGCAGGTACACTGGTACAGTACATGTGAGTGAAATTCTTGTGTGCGAGCTTCACAAGCAACAGAGTTGTGCAAAAATACAATAACGTAAAACAAGCAAAATATAAGAATGGCTAAATTAATTAAATAAATTAGTGCATTTAGCGTTAATCTCGTTAAAATGATGTTAACGCCATAACTGCATTAACACGGCATCAGTTTGTTTACGCGTTAGTGCCATGTAGCCCCGCGCACAGGGCGATCCACGCTAACTCGCTAACGGAGATTTACTGCGTTAATGCGGTTATGGCTTCAACGTCATTTTATTTAGATTAACACTGACAGCACTAATTTAAATAAAAGTGTTGGATAAAAACATCAGGCCACAAGGTCAGATAAAATTAGTCATCATCAGTGATAACTAAAATACTTGAGTTCACTATATATGCTATTACATAACGTTCTTGTTCTTGTAAAAATGGCTAACAAATGATAATGATGATCCTGCACATATTATTTTTAATAATTTCCATTTATCAGAGTAGGAATACCATATGTGATCTTCTTATTTCTTTTTTTCAGAATGCAATAGTATTTTGATCTCTGGCAAACACAGAGGAGTGATCGAGTCACTGAACTTTCCCAACAACTATCCGGACAACAGCCAGTGTAGCTGGACAATCCAAGCCAGCGGTGGAAATACCGTCAACTACACCTTTACAGCCTTCCAGCTAGAGGCCACCTCTGCTGCTTGTGCATTTGATTACATTAAGGTAACACATCCACATCTCGCAACATTATAAAAGAAAAGAAATAAAAGAAAGAATGACTCAAAACTCTCACCAGGCATGTTTGCAAATAAACAAAATTTGATTTTGTGTATTTTTTCAATCCAATTTGTTTACAAAAACTTAAATACTTGTATATACAACTGACCCCTTTTTTATTATGTGACATTAACTAAAAATAACAGTTACAAAAATGCGCAACTATCTCAATAAAATAAACATCTATAAATTGGCTGCTGAAATAAGTTTCAACATTTTGTGAGTTAATGATTTGCTTTAAATGACTGCTACTTTAACATTATCTTTTTTCCCTCCTTCACTGATAAAACGTCTTCATTATGCAACTTTTAGCAGACCTACAAGTCTGGTTGTTATCCTGCTGCTCTCCTTAAACTCATGAACCATGCATGGTTCATGAGTTTAAGGAGAGCAGCAGGATAACAACCAGAAAACGGAAATTTGCCTGTTTTTAAATGTTACCTGTCCAAGATGCTAAAGGAAATCTGAGGTGTAATGACTTCGATGGCAGATGCTATTTCACACATGTAAAAACATGTCACAGTATGACTGAGGAAATCTGTGATGTTAAGGAGCAAATTCTCTCTACACCTCTTTATCTGCTAACTCCTTAAATCTTTGTCACCTGTGAAGTGCCCATTGAACACTGAGTCGTCTGAGCAAAGCTCAAAATAATGAACGAGCTAAATGTCAGCGGCAAACATCATTGAATTATTCTCACCTGCTTGGGCATCACCATCTCTAAAGTAGGAAGCCCTGTTTCTGTGTTAATTACATAAAGCAGTGTGTGGTCATGTAGACAGATGCTCACCCTTTGACCACCATTTAGGAAATACCAGACTCGCTGGCTGCCTTGATAGTCTTCTCCACTATTGACATGGACAATAGATACTGGCAGTGCCAGATGGAGAATAGATAAGATAAGACTGTTTTTAACCTTTCCTGCAGGATTATATCAAATCAAGGTCATAGCCTTCAGTCTATGCACCAGTAACCATCCAGTAACTGATGGAGATAACCTCTGGATGGCGTAATCATCTATTCATCATCATGGGAACAGTACCATGAGGGCATCCCCACACTATTCCAAAAGCTCCAGGAGGCCAAGCTGACTGTCAATATGAAAAACTCCAACCTTTTCAGAACATATTTCAGATTCCTTGGTGACATCGTGTCATTTCCAATTAACATCAAAGGAGATCAAAGGTTTCCTTGCATGGCTGGCTCATACTACCAGATTGTTCCCAATTTTCCACAACTGTCTGAACCACTGAATGTATGTCAGACTTCTTTTCAAGACCTGTCTGGTCTCCTCATTCATCCGGGGTCATCACCGATGCCAGTGATGTAGGCCTGGGACCATGAGTTTGGAAAAGAGGAAGTACTGGAGAATTGTAGTGATATTGTGAATAGAGTAGGCAGAACTTAAGAATTCTGCCACTGAGAAGTGTTCGGCTCTGCCCTGGAAAGGCGGCGATGCCAAGTGGAAGGGGTGCCAGTGCTTTACTGTGGTCACAGACCACTGCGCTATACACTAGAACGGCCAAACATTTTTTTAACATAGTTAATTATGTATGCTGTGCAATCATTCCACACTGGAAAAAGAACAGTTCAAAGAAATCGTAGCAAGCCCCAAATTACCATGGCATTTCTGCCCATTTTCAGTGCATACGTTCTGCTTTCCCTGTATATCCCTAGCTCTATGATGGGCCTAACCAAGAAGCGCCTCTGATTGGCACATTCTGTGGATACACTCCTCCCCCGGCCGGCAGCACTACAAGCTCAGCCCTCAACATTGTGTTCAGAACTGATTCAACTGTTTCGACATCAGGCTTCCAGATGATGTGGTACCAAAATGGTAAGAGGGAAACATATTTGATTGTTACAGACCAGATCAAGAGAACCCTTACAAACATACTGTGTACTATAGTATTTAAAATAGTTTTTAAAACATTAATATAAATAAATGAAATTTAATTTTTGTATTTTTAAATACGTGCTACTAACTTAGCACAGAGATCTAATCTCTCTAGCGTGTTCTGGATCTGCTCTGGGGTCTCCTCCTAGGTCAACACACCTCACCTTGAAGCCATCAAGAAGGCATTCTGGTGTGTTGGCCAAACCACCACATGCGGACGAGTTTTCACTCTTCACTGAGTCCTTCCCGATCAAACTTATCACCTTATCAATAAGGAAGATCTCTGACATCCTCATCTCATCTATCAGTTTTCCCAATTTATTTTTTCCTTCACTATCCAGAGATCATGGCCGTAAGTGAGAGCAGGAATGTCAACCAGTAAATCAACCACTCTGCACACTCTCCAGCACAACTGACCATTGTAACTAAACACTGACTAATAACAGAAATACTGCATCTCATATACCGAGGTGCATCCACACACTGAGGCTACGTCCACACTAGCCCGGGTAGATTTGAAAACGGCGTCTGAAAACGCTTCGCGTCCACACTATCGTTTTCAGTTGTTTTCACAGAGTTGTGCGTCCACATTGAAACAGCCGAAAACGCTTACGTTCCAGTACTGCGCATGCATGAAACGCAAGACGATTCGACCTGCCTCATTTCTGTCTGCCGCTTATTTACTTTCCGGCTCTTTGAATCGTCGCGGCAAAATGTCGAGGAAAAGCATCGAGTTTTTTAAATGGACTAACAATGAGTTAGAGTTGTTGCTGTGAGTAACACAAAAGTACAAAGTTGCAAAAGCGAGTGAGAATTAAAAAATTTGAGGACTACATCTCCTTTGTCTCTTCAGATTGTCACACATATAAAGAGAAGGTGTGACTTTTGCAGGTAGTGGAGGTAGTTTTTTCTTTGATGGTATACTATAAAGGCAGTTTTAAGTTTATGCTACACTTGTCAGCTGGCTGTTGGTTTTTATCTCTGGTTTTAATAAGAGTTAATGCGTGCTTTATTGCATTTTTTCTCATGCTTTCTCTTCACCTTGCTGACAAAAGTGCTGTGAAAATCTCTTTATTAAAAATGTTGTTTAGTCTAAATAATTACTGAAACAAAATAATACTCATTTGATGCATAATTTAGTGATTTCTTTGTCCCTGCAGGTTGTGGTGGGGATCTCTTTGGTCCCAGTGGCTCCTTCAGCAGCCCAGGCTACCCTAACAGATATCCAGATAACAGAGAATGTATATGGTATATCACCACATCAGCTGGCAGCAGTATAACTATCACCATCCATGAATTTGATGTTGAGTACCACCAAGACTGCAACTATGATGTGCTGGAGGTAAGACACAGACGTTTTTCTCTAAAGATGTTGGCTTAGTAGGAGTCAGTTCATAAACATACCAAAAGCTGAATTCATGACAAAACTCATATAATCTTAATTCAGTTCAGTTGAATTAAATATCAGTTTTGTTAAAATTGAGTTTTACTTATGTAGCACTGAATGACAAAAACCCCCACAAAAACAGTGGCCGACAGCACCGTACACAACAGTAGACTGGTGCGTAATAAGCAAGCGAATAATGCAGAAAACAGATGATGGGAAACTGTTCTCTCAGTTCACTGGGAGAGAGAGAGAGAGCTGTGCAGGAAGTGCGATTTTATCGTAGTGGAAGGAAAACAGCCAAAGTCAGAGGAAATTCATGTTGTTCAAACGTGAAGTGTAGTTTTGATCTTCTTCTGCTGCTGGTTCAGTGAATTTTGGTCAGAGAGTGATTAATATTTGAGATTTCGGCTTCCAGCACCCGACAGCATGTACTCGACCCGAGGTTTGCACTTTGTGTTTACATCGTTGTGCCAAATCTGTTTACCTGTTTTAGCTGTTTGGTGGCAGTTGAAATAGTTTTGTGAGCTTTAAGCTGAGATTCTGCCGTTTCTGGCAAAATAAATTTCTATTTAAAAATCGATTATGGATTATCACGCAATAATTGCGATATTGCAATATGTCAAGATCTCTGTCTAAATAAATAAATCTGGATAAATTCTTAGATGATTAAACATGCAACTATTTTGCTGGTAATACCTGAAGCTAGTAAAGAAAATCAATAGCCTATTTATGCAAGATAATTCATAATTTTATTGGGGGGGTTATATTGGTTGGATCTGATTATTGGGGGAGTCATAAGCCCCCTAACCCCCTGGAAATTACGCCCCTGACTGAAACTATTGTGATTGGTTGGGGTTCATGGCAGAAGGCAATAAATTGACCTGATTGTTGACTTGATTTCTTTTTCATTTGATTACTTATTGAATTGATGTCATTTCTCCTCAGGTTTATGGAGGGCCAGACTTGTCAGCCCCACAGCTGGCTAAGCTATGCACCACTACATCCACCCCAATGCATGTCTCCAGCACTGGCAACCTTCTCACTGTGCGCTTCAAATCTGATGCCTATGTCAGTGGTCGAGGATTCAATGCAAGCTGGGCTGAAGTCCAGGGAGGTGGGTAGGCATCATTAAATACAGCTTTTACAGCTCTGCATGCTTCTTCTGGATGCAGCATCAGAGCTTTGGGTTTTGCAGTTTGATTATAGACTTTGTAGCTGGGTGCAATATTTTACAGAAATGTAGCTGTTGTAGTCTCAACTGGATTGAAGTTGTTACTACTGCAATAGTTTTTGACTGCTGACAATTCACCACCTGTTATCTTTCTGCCATTTTAAATTACAAAGCCTTAAGAGTTTATGTATATATACAGTACTCTGTAGGTTTTAATAAACCCTCTTTCTTCTTGCAGGCTGTGGAGGCCCAGTCACAGCACCTTCAGGGGAAATCCATTCTCCTTTGTATCCCAACAGCTATCCAAACAATGTGGATTGTTCCTGGGTCATCAGCGTGGATCCCAACCACCGTGTCTTTCTGAACTTTACAGACCTGGACATTGAATATCACAGCAGCTGTAACTTTGACTATGTGGCTGTAAGTGACTGAATAGCAACTGGTTGGTGCAATATTAAAGCAGCTGTCTTTGGTTGTTGCTGTGTGCTGTATCTAAGGCTGACAAGGCGAAGACAGGCAAAAGCACTATCACTGCTTGAAAAGCCAGCAAACTAAGAAAGTCCACAGTGAACTTTTCATTCTTGTGCCTGATTTATTAATCAATACACTTCCATTCGGTGTGACTCAAGACAATTAGGCTGTTTCTGAATTTTTTTAATGTAACTTTTATTTTTTATTTTATATATCTATAACCATTATAGAATAACAAATTATAAAATCACATGTAGGGCAGCACGGTGGCACGGTGGTTAGCACTGTTGCTGCACAGCAAGAAGGTCCTGAGTTCAATTCCAACATCAGGCCGGGGTCTTTCTGTTTGCATGTTCTCCCCGTGTTTGCGTGGGTTCCCTCCGGGTACTCTGGCGTCCTCCCACCGTCCAAAGACATGCAGCTTGTGGGGATAGGTTAATTGGATAATCCAAATTGTCACTAGGTGTGAATGTGAGTGTGAATGGTTGTCTGTCTCTGTGTGTTGGCCCTGTGACAGACTGGCAACCTGTCCAGGGTGTACCCCGCCTCTCGCCCTATGACAGCTGGGATAGGCTCCAGCGCCCCCCGCAACCCTGAAAAGGATAAGCGAATGGATGGATGGATGGAAAATCACATGTAACATGCATACATGTAAGACAAAAAAAACAAGTCCGAGTCAACAAGTAAAGTAATACAAAATCCAGCTTATCAATAGCAAATTACACACCTTAGTTAGCTCTGAGGGAGGGAGACAAGAGATATGTATAAAAAAAAATCCCCACTTGCCCTGTGGGGATTTTTTTTATCTCTTAAGGTTGAATTCCACTTCCACAAGCAGTTTTTTCTACACTGTTTCTAAGAGCTTCCTATCTAACATTTATGCACATTCATACTCTGATGGATGCATCAGAGAGCAGCACGGGGTTAGTATCTTGCCCAAGGATATTTAGCATGTAGACTGGGGCTGAAACACCAAGCGTCCAGTTAGTAGGTGAGTTGCTCCACCACCTGAGCTACAGCCAACTTCACCCCATATATATCAGTATACTTAGTATATTTTTGCAGGACTTCTACAGGATTTCTCAGAGTATGCAAGCAAATACAGTTAAAAAAGAAGTTTTTGTATCAATTAATCATAAACCCATCAATAGTCTTTTTTTTTTAATGAGATATGTGTATTTTGCATCATGGCGTAGTTTGACTAAGCTGTCACCTAAGAACTAATGTGCACCCCACTCAACTCAAAATTTATGAAAATAGATGCATGAAAAGTGATTTGTTTGTTCATTTATTATGTGCCAACACAACCACAGTTTCACTGAAAACATATGCTTGTCCATTGGTAGATCCATGATGGTCCAACCTCATCTTCTCCTCTGCTGGGTCGTGTGTGTGGTTCCAGTGTTCCTCCCTTCACTTCCACCCAGAACACAATTTATGTTCGCTTTAGGTCAGACTCCAGTGGCAACCACCGTGGGTTCAGCGCTCGCTTCTCTGAGGGTCAGTCTTCTTTAACCTCTTTGCACTTGAACACTGATATAATTTGTCTGCTGTAATGGGTTTGTCCACTCATGCCTCTGTCCCTGCTACATCAGAGAAGACTGCTTCAGTTTTCAGTTCAGTTTTCCTCCTTTTTAGCTGCTGGACTAAAACCTGTCTGCTGCAAACAGCTTGATCTCCGTGTTCTGGTTGCCAAAGCCAGAGTGCAGGTGACAATGTACTTTTGTTTTCAACAGCTTGTGGTGCAACGATTGTAACAGATGATAATGGTGGGGCCATTGCATCACCAAGGTATCCAGCACAATACCCACCTAATCAGAACTGTAGTTGGATCATTAGAGCACAGGAACCATGTGAGTTGCTTTAGTTAAAGAGGACTAGAAAATTCATTCTTTTATATATTTCATATAGAAAAACTTGAGATGCAAACTGTTCCAATAACCACTAACTTGTCTTTCTGTGCCCAGTAAACCACGTCACCCTTTCATTCACTGACTTTGACTTAGAGATGATCTTAGCCAATTGTTCTCACGATTTCTTGGAGATCTTGGACGGAGACAATTACGATTCACCTACTATAGGTAAATATTCACTATATGTGTCTTTGCTTGTCTGTTTTTGGTAAGAGTTAGATTTAGAAGGGTGGTGCTTGCCTAAGCCTAACCTTTGTAATCATAAGAGAAGAGATGTGCTGAATCCTGAAAACAATATCCTGTTGAGTATCATACCACAGTGCCTTTTTATCAGCCCAGTTTCCACATAAGGTTGGTGTCGTTCTGTGACAATGCCTTATACGCCTGGTTTGTCACTCCAATCTTGTCATGTTCTTGTAATGTAATATGTTGCATTTAATTTCACTGGCTCAAATACAATCTTTATTTCATTTCAACAATGAATGGCATTCTACCAGGAGCAGTGCAAATGAGCAGTAGAAAAATGAGCAGACCCAATAAGGGAGCGAATAGTCTACCAACCAAAATAATACCACATAAGCACAGGTTTTATGGATGTGTTCTTATTAATGATAGCCAAGTGAAAAAGAATTAGCATTTTTGAAATTAACTTTATGTTAAAATTACAACTTAATGTTGTCTTTTGTTAGGGCGCTACTGTGGATCTGAAATACCTCACCCAGTGACATCCTTCAGCAACTCTTTGGTAGTCAAATTCATCTCTGACCACTCCTACTCCAGAAAGGGTTTCAGAGCTACCTACTCGGGCTCCACTTCTAGTAAGTAAATGATCAAAACCAATTAAAAATCACGTTACTATCATGCATACACACTCTTACGGACAAGATATCCAAGTTTTTTCTTTTTATTTTCTTTACTCAGGTTGTGGAGGAGATCTTGTGATGGAGACTGGTGCATTTAACAGTCCTAACTATCCAGATGCTTATCCACCTAATGTGGAGTGTGTGTGGACCATCCGCAGTTCACCAGGAAACCGCATCCAGCTCTCGTTTATGTTAGTCAATTTAAGCATGATTATTTCACTTTGGAAGAATCTATCAGAGTTAGTCAAAGAAGCTTGCAAAGAAAAGCGTCTGGACTTCTTTAAGTTGCTTGAAGCCATCTATGTCCACTGTGAGCGACCATCTTTGAACAGAGGCGGTGGTTTACGACACCAACTCTCTGCCATCTATAATCCAGTTTTGAGTTCCCTCCCCAGACGCCTTAACGCCCACTCACATCCTGGGCCATCTGACCTCAGGAAATCACATGATAAGGTGGGGCCAGGTTTCACAATGAGCTCACCTGAAACTCTGGCTGATTGGGACCCACACCCAGTTTCACACCTTGGCTCAGGCGATTAGAGGATCATCAGGGGGTCCTTTTGTCCCTCTGTGGGGGGAAACTCCCACCAGGTTTAAATCTGGGACTCTCCACCATTTGACCTTAGAACTGAAGAAGCCTCTCGGATGAGAGGTGAAACGTCTTCAAGCAACTTAAAGAAGTCCAGACGCTTTTCTTTGCAAGCTCCTTTGACTACGATGACCTGGATGACTGAGAACCTTCACAGACCTATCAGAGTTAGCTTGTAAATAAGTTCCTATCAGCACTATTCCACAGACAGGCATTACTAGTTGACTGGCTATCAGTGGGAGTGGCTTTAGGGGATCATCTACTAATCAGAGGGTTGGTGGTTCAATCTCTGGCTTCTCTAGTCTGCATGAGTAAGGAGGAATACCAAGTTGCTCTCTGATGTGTTAATGAGTATAAATGTGTGTGAATGTAAGATAGGAAGCACTTATGCCTGATTTATACTTCTGGCTTACGGACTTATGGTTATGTTGTAAGTTACTACATAGTTTTTCAGCTGAATCATAATAGAGTCATTAGGTATAGAAAAAGGTGTTTGTATGAATGGATGAATGTTGTATAACATCTTCCAGTAGAGTAGAAAAGCAATGTATAAAGACCTTATCATATACCATGAAAGGTTTGACTATAAGATTTTAGATAGTAGTTAGAACATATTTATTTAAGAACCACCTGGAGCACAAATTAGTGTCTCAAAAATTAACACACCCAACCATTTATGTCCTAACAAAAATAATAAGAAGGCTTTACAAAAGTGTCTCTCTGAAAACACTGTGGCACTTAAGATAAATGAGGAAGTTAGAAGAATCAGGATCTTATGGGGTTAAACTTGTCTGTTAGAAAAAGCTTAACCGTGTGAGGTCCTGAGGATTGAGACTCAGGTGGAGAGCTGATTAAGTAATACAATCTGTTACAAACTATTACAAAATACCTTTATTAATATAAACAGCTCTAATGTATAAATATCCTGATATATTACACAAAACTGAAATATAAAAGAAATCTGAAATTGAGGCGCCCTTCTTATCATACTGACAGTTATGTTCTCTGAGAGGATGTGCAGATAAGGGTGTACAACAAAATGCAGTGTATCCTTTAAGATAGGGAAATTGTAAAGAGATAGTCACAGCCATTCTCTGTGTGGTTCAGTGGTGCATTTGGGTAATCTCCGTCTCTCACTCTGATGGCCCAGCACATTATGGAGTGGGTGGGAGGTATTGTCCAGCAATGTCCTTATATTAGACAACATCTGGCTATCTGCAACCACCTTCAGAGAATGCATCTCCATTTCCACAATGCTTGGCCTTAAGGATGGTGATGTTATATGTATGATTCAGCAGAATAATTTAAACTTCCCACTGTGCTAAAACAGCCTTAGAAACAAATGACAACGGATACACTCTGCTACTTAAACAAAGAGCACTACACCTCTTCTTAGGTGTCTGTTACATGAACTAAAGTTAGATAACTCACTCTTGTACCACTGTTAATTTATGACTTTTCTACACACACAGGAACCTATATTAGTAAATATGACAAACAATCTTATTGTGTTTTGTTTTAGTACATTTCAGCTCCAAGGAGACTCTGATTGTCAAAACGACTACCTGGAAATCAGAGAAGGCAACGCCACCGGGCCTCTAGTCGATCGCTTCTGTGGAAACTCGCTTCCTTCCAACTACACCTCTGTCATTGCTCATATCATGTGGGTCAAGTTCGTGTCAGACGCTTCAGTTAGTGGAGCAGGATTCAGAGCCGTCTTCTCACACTGTGAGTGTCTGTGTATGAGAGAATTAACCAGCAATCTTCTATATCGTCATTTTTCTCAGGTTCTCAGATTTTTCTCCTGAGGTCAGTACTAGGGATGGATAAGGGTATTACTGTGATCCTAAATATGTCACGAAAAGAATAAAACCAGCATATTATTTTTAATAAGATATTTGAGATATAGTCATTACCTCAGTGTAGGTAAGGTGTGTTGTGCATCAAAGAAAGTCAGTGTCAGCTCAGCCAGCTGTTTACACGGAGTTATGTTCTGTGTAACCAATAAAAAAGGATCTAATGAGAAATGTTTCTTTTTTCTGTGTCACTGCTCCACAGTGTACGGTGTTGATGTGACTGGGGAATCTGGTCAGATAGCATCCCCACTGTATCCCAGGACATACCCCAATAACGCTGACTACCACTGGACTATAACTGTAGATGGAGACAGCTACATCCAGATCCGCTTCTTGGACATGGACATCGAGGATCTTTATGACTGCTACTATGACCACCTGAAAGTAAGATTGTGAAGAGACTGCAATCTACAAACAATATCAGTCACATTTTTATAATATTGTGCCAAGTGTCTGGAAATACATTGTGTCGTTTTAAATTTTTTTTTTAAATTACATACTTTTATTAATTATGGCTCAATGGTAAATGGCCTGTATTTGTATAGCGCTTTTCCACCCATTCACACACTGGTGATGGCAGCTACATTGTAGCCACAGCCACCCTGGGGCGCACTGAC